ACAAATTGTGGCTCATCTCAGAAGCTAATTGTCTGTTATTATTTTCATCATTAGGCCATTCTTAACCGTGGTCTGCACTTACATACCTTATTTATGGTCATTTTTCTGCAAGACATATATTTTGTTAGATCTCGGTCTTTGCTGGTTAAAATCCTATCATTGTTTCGAAGTTTCTGCGTGACAGTTTGTTTCCGTATCAGCAAGGATGCAGTTGTGGTATTTAAAATGTATTTAGCAACAGTTTCGAGTCACGGGGTGCATGCGTAGAATCAATATATGGGCTCTATCAGGCTAACACGCACATTAATTATGGTGCGGTACAAAAAAAAATCCAACATCTACACTGTGGCACCGCAATTTAAGGCAGCATCAAGCCAGCCACCTCCTCTCAATCTAGATGTCTGTCGTCACTGCTTGGTCATGAGACCGTGCTCATAAGGGTGAAGAAAATGGAAGCGTAGTAAATACTGTGCATCTCTTGGGGATTCTAACGTTCCCGGTGTTGAAGAAAAACATGGACTGCGTAGAGGCTTCCAGATCATTTCAGTCATAACACTGCGCGCGCTTCGAATTCGACTTCAATTTTCGACCTTAAAGGTAGTTAAGTTCGTCGGGAGTAAGGGCTACAAATCTCATCTATACACTGCAGGGACTAAGAATTAACTTGGTCTGATCAACATCACCCCCCCCCCAAAAAAAAAATCTCCAACAGGAACTAGCTGTTTCCGGCAGAATTCCGGTTTCATGGGATAACGTCCTTCTCCGTTTCTACTGCTTCCTAGTCCTAGAAGGCTATTCCAATAACAAACGATACAGCGAGAACTCCTACAAAGGCTGAGTCGTTCTTGTTTACATAGTTATTCGTTACACTCTCACCTGAGAGTTTTCGTCTAAATTTGTGTTTTGCGGATTTTCTCACCTCACGTCCTAGTCTTATTGGTTTCAATACAGACTTATACGTAAATGTCTTCACACATAATCACCAGGAGCATGACAAGTGCAAACTTTAGCGATTCAGACATGCAGGAGTCAGACAAATGTCTGTCGTCACCTGGACTCCAACTGTCGACCTCACACCAACAGGAAAAATATCACCCGCCAGAGGCCGGACTCGAACCACGGACCTCTCTTTGAGGATTTGAGCGTCTAAGCACCTTTGCCACCGAGCCATGAGAGTAATCAAAATCGATTATTAACAATTGAAAAGCGGTCCACTTTGATCTTTGATTTATTAACGGTCTGCTGTGAAAAGATGGCGACAGACACATTAGAAACATTTAAAACTATAGGCTGCCAAGTATCAAAAAAGGAAACTAAGTCCAGTTTACCCGCACCAGTCACTGACAAACATTGATGTTTCGGCGCTGAAGAACTTAACAAACGAGTCAGTGTATTGGAGATAAACAATAATCGGTTTACCGATATTATTGCGGTCCTTCTTAAGCAAAGTAAAATTAAACACTATGTGAAAGAAGAAATTACCCACCCGATACGTACCGTTACAGGAAACACCGAGGTCAGAAGCCCAAAGTGACCGAAGAAAAGGATAAGGACTATTTCACCAGATCAAACTCCAAGGAGTTGTACTGCAATACTGGCAAACACTTTGGTACGAAGGGGGCACACATCAGCTCATTACCTAAACAAGACGAGAAAATGACACCAACCAACCCAATGCGTCATAAATATTATCTAACTAGTGTAGCCACTAAAGGACACGCCAAAATCCGTAAGCAAGACTCCTCTCTAATATTAGAGGACGACCGTGCAACTGCACTCCTAGTAAGGTCAGCTCGGATAGGAGGCCCGAGGAAAAGACTACCAGTGGCTATGATAATGCTGCGTATGTCATTAATACAGCGAAAAAACTCAGAAGGGGGTCGGTATGAAGCTAGTTCTTCATTTGCATATGTGGGCTTAACAAAACCTTGTTCTAAAGAATGCCACCCGATCCTACTACAGAAGCCTATTTCTGGCACGAAGGAGACAACACAGAGCTTGCCCATCAATCGAAGCAAAACATTGTCATAAAGGGAGCTCCAGAGTCCACGTGAGACGGTACGAAGTAACGAGTTGCACATGATTATGGTCGAATTAAAGATACGCCAGTGCTTTCCCAAAGAATGGAGAAATGTACACCGTATATAAAGCCTTCCGTCTAGGTAAAACGGACCCAGGCCGCGACCTGCAAACGAACCCAAGGCCTCTCAAAGTTATCTTCGATAACAAAGTCTTGGCATCGGAACTGCTAAAAGGAAAAAATGGCCTTACGATACTCGCACAAGCAAGCTTTTTTTCAGCCAGACTACAATCGGAGGAAAATAAGGCAACTAAGTTCAGAATTGAGAGAGAACCGGAAGCGGGGAAAATGGCCTGAAAATAAAAGACGGTCAAATAGTCTAAGTCAATGAGCCCTTCCCCTGGCCAAAACCTGTCACGATTAGGGTTGGGCCTCTCGGGGTAAACTATCGCTAAAGGTCCTAACCGCAGATGTACAAAGTTTGTTTAACAAGCTGGATGAACTAAAGAACATGGTTGATGAGGTGAAACCAGGCATGATGGCTTTAACTGAAACCTGATTTTCGACAGAAACCGCTGAGTTTGAATTATCGCTTAGATGATATCAGCTTTCCAGGAAAGACAGAACAACTAGAGGAGGAGGATTTATAGTTTTTTGGGTAACATAGCGCTCGCCGAATAAGACTTCTGACCAAGGCACTATCCTCATAGCAGAATTGTACAAGGTTAGTAAGAAAAAAGGCATCCTTTTCGTTTGGGACTTTAACGCTACTGGTCCTGATTGGAAAACATGGACTGCAGAGGGTCTTTAGACAACTTCAATCGTAAACTTATAAAATGGGCCAAAGACAAACTGCTCTGCCAGATCTTCACATTTGGAACACGGGCTAGGAAAGGACAACAGTCCGACTGTCTTGACCCGAGAGGAGGAATCTGTGATGGACCTGCGGGATCGAGTCCATTAAGGCCAAGCAACCACATTATGCACTATTTCCAGTACTCGCTGTTCTCCAAACCCTATTTCTGCGATAAATTGGAAAGTAACATTTGGAATAGCGACTTCCCACTTATGAGAAATGTCAAAGATGGCATGGGAAAGAGACATCCCTGGTGGAGTAAATGAACAGTGGATGAAATTTAGCTCGACGCTGAAAAGCACTGTTTGTCTCTACCATCACTTCAGAAGAAAGACAGGTACAAATCGCCCGAAGTGGCTAAACTCAAACTTACAGGCCGCTTTCAAAAAAGTAACCGCTTCTGGAGGCGTTAGGGATTTACCGGTTCCGATAAACACTAACGGGATTATAAGCAACAACGTAAAGTTTGTAAAAGTGAATATACTAAGCTGCGCAAGAAATACGACTGAACATACTGCACGAAACTTTGTAACACCCCAAGATACTTTATGGCTATATACGAAGCACGAAGAGATATCAGGAACTGATCCCTG